AGGAGGTGCTTTCGCTCTACAGCGCGCTGTTATTTCCTTATCAATTATTTACACGGCATCCCTTTAATAATGCAGTGCGGCTGCAGCTGGCTGGGCTGGAGGAGCCCCGGGGAGCCAAGTCGCAGGAGGGCCCTGGGTGGCTGAAGAGGGGGGACTGGAGCGGGGACAGACGCGGAGGGAAGAACCCGAAGTCCAAGGGGGCATTTCTGGGACCTAGAGCGGTGCGAGAAGACATACCTGCATTGCTTCAGTCAGCCTGTCAAATTAGTACACACTTAAAAAAAATAATAATCATATTAAGACCTGACATTAATTGTAAAATTAATTGTAAAATAGACAGTTCAAATTTGTGAAGGTTATTTTTATGTTAAGATAAATTTACTTCAGCATGTAAGTGCCTCAGACTATTTTCATCGTGGAGCATAGCCCATGCATTACTGAATTGTGCTGTTGTTTTCTCCTTTGGAAGAAAGGAAAGAGACAACAGATCAATATACGCTTGTACACATGAACGTGGCTAGTGAGCAGAAAATACTTGTGTGCAGTAGAAGAGGACTGGCATCATTACCGAATATAAATGGAAGAGCAAGTTGTTGGTGGATTTTCATTTACTTGATCTGGTCTCTGCAAGCGGGTTATTGTACCCCATTACATTATTGTACTGTCCTCCCTTTAGCTCCTTTTCTTACATAAGACACCAAAAAGGTTTCCCATCTACTGGTGGCTCTGGATCCCTTTTTATGGCTTCCCTCAGTCCTGCTCTGAGGGATCCCCAGTACCCGAGCGGCCCTGCAGCCTCCCCAGGCGATGCTTCATCCTCCTGTCTGATACGAATATTCCTTGCTGAAACGTGAACCTGGTGCTCCCTGCCCAGGGAAGTCTCCTCTCTCTCTTCCTGTGTCGCAGTGCCCTTTTACATCCGATGGCTGTTATCATGTCCCTGCGCCATGTTTTCTTTATGACAACCAGCTGCAATTTGTCCACCTCTCCTGCTGTCTCCTCGGCCTCCGACTGCCCCCAGCTCTCCTCTGGTTTCCCCTCAGCTGCTGCCTGCAGCACCAGCCTCTGTGTGTGCACGGGGTTAACCCCGCCTGCAAAAACATCAACTCTTTGTCACTTTTCAGTCACGTTTTGTGCTTTCCAAGCAATTCCTTAGGATTACATTGGAGGATGAAATAAGAATTCAAAGTACTTACAGTTGCTCCCTGATTAATGCCACCTCTGAAGGCCACTAATGAAACGTCCCAGGACAGACCCCTTTGGAATTGCATCTATAAGCCACCCGTTTGCCAGTAAACCACTGACAACTGCTGTTTCCACAGTTTTGTACCCACTGCCCCACTTTTTCACATAAACTGAACTCCCTCATTTGTGAACGGATGTGCAGAGCCTAACCAAGGCACAGCTGATTGTGGCCCTTGCTCCTTTCTTCCGTAATAAGGTCTGTTCCTCTATCGCCAAAGGAAATTTGGCTGGCTTGTCCCAGTTTCTTGTTGACAAGTCCATGTTAATAGCTGCTTATTTCTTTGTTTCCTTCTGTCTGTTTACAAATGATGTATCTATTTGTACTAGGTGCTTTCTGGGGAAAAAAAATGGCTGGCTGGGCTCTTTTTTTTTTTTTTTTTAATTATTTTAAACTGCCCTTTTTAAAGATAGGCACCAGCTTTGCCTTTTCCCATCAGCAGGGTCCTTGGCCATCCTCCCTGAGTTCTCAGAGGTAGACACTAGTATTTCCAACGTTGTTTGAGCCACTTCCTTCAGTACCCTGGCGTGAAGTCCAGCCAGCCTGTTGGTTTGAACACCTCTAAGTTATCTAAGCACTCTTGTAACCGGTCCTGTCCCAGTCTGGGCTGAAACCTCATTCCTTTGTCATTAATATGTATTGTGTCAACCACCTGATCACAAGTGACCTCTTTTAGCCAAGCCTGGTGCAAAAAAGGCATGAGGCACTCGGAGCTTTCTCAGCATCAGTCAATAGCTTTCTCTCTCTGATGAGTAATCCACTTGCTTTTGACTTCCTCTTACCGCTGATGTACTTACCGAACGATTTCTTGTTACTTGCGATGCTCTTGCTAGTTAAGTTTTATTTGTTGTATTGGCTTTTTTGTGTTTGTCCCCGTGTGCTCTTGCTAGGCGGTACTTCTGCACTTACCCCGTGGAAACCTGACCTACTTTCTCTGTGCTTCCTTTTTGTGTCGTGAGCTCACGATTTAGCCTGATCGGTTGCTTCCTCCCCTTCCCAGATTTCTTCTGCGATGCGATCGTTTGGGACAGGTCTTCTAGAAACTCCCAGCTACCACTCGCTCTCTTTTCCCACATAGGGGAAAAGGCCTTGGCATGGCCTGGGGTTGGCAGGGGGAGATGGAGAGGGGAAGAGGGCTTTGGGAACGGAGGTCTCTCCAACAGTGCCTCTCTGACCTCAGATAGAAGACATAGGATCTTTGGGGTACCTCTTTGTTAGAGGACAAAAAGATATCATTTAAAAGATGAGTTGCGTTCAAGAAGAGAATGAATCAATGTCTTTTGGTTTATTTTTTCCACATTCACTGAGTTATATTAAGGAAATTGCATACCTTTGTAACCTAGGTCCTCAACAGTTTGGGGAGGAGGAGCAGAAAAGGCGGCTTTGGTCTCCTCTGACAGGAGCAGTTTGATCCCTGCCATAATGCAGGGCGAGCGGCCTCAGAGCTGGGACAACACGACACCAGTGAACTTCACCCCATTGCAGAGCAAGCCTCCCGTTGCAGAACGAGCATCCCGTCTGTCGGCACTCTGCCACGGCTCAGAGGATTTGAAGCCAGGATCCAGAGAAGTATCATCATGTTTACAGAGAGGAGGAAAAAAAAAAAATCAAGCTTCCTTAGCCTTGGTGTTAACATTTCAGATTCTTGGAAGGCCAGCCACAGTACCTTGAAGAGCTCCTGGCACAAATTCCTGGTTTATGTGGAATTTGCAACAACCTCATTCTGCACAATAACAAACCTAGTTATATTTTATTGTTTTATGGGATGTATGCTTGGTTGCCTTTTTTGTCTAAAGGAATCCTGTACTGTAGAGGTGAAATTATGACAATGCAATAAACCAAAGCTACTTGGTACAAAGATCGATTAATAAAATCACCTATTGGAATGCAGGCTATTTATATAATGGAGGAAAGCACAATGTGTTCATCAGATCACAGGAGAATTTAGGTTGGAAGGGATCAGGAGGTCTCTAGTCCCACCTCTTCTCAAAGCAGGATCAGCTATGGGGTCAGATGAGGATGCGCAGGGCTTTATCCAGATGCTATAGGGGATTTTTCAGTTCAGGAGGGCCAGGTGAGTACTGTGAGAGCTGGATGTGGGGCAAGATAAACAGAAAGAAAGAGGAATGAGTTGAAAATGTGAAAAGGGGCTAAGCCACTTGGAAGACAGGCAGAAAAGCCTGTACTCATTTCAGTGTGCTCTCCTCCAATCTTGATTGAACCAAAGACACCTGACTTTCACCATTCTTCCAATGTCAGCAAAGGTTAGTGAAACTCAGTAGCAAAATGTTCTGTCCCTTCCTGATGCTGATTCAAATAGAAGATGACAACCTATTACTTGTGTCATTTACTCTGCTGGCAGAGGTCTGTACCCCATACAGGGAGGGATGCAGCAGGGGAAGGGTTCCCATCCCCCATCTGCTAGGGATGTGGGCGTGATGGGGAATGTGGGTGGCTTCGTGTATTATCCTAAAAACAGAAAAAATTATTTGTACACTAACTATTGGAAAAGATCATAGATGTTGCAAAGTCAAGCAATCTGAAGTTGGTAAATGCTGTAACTAAGATTGCTTGGGCAATGTTAATTTGTGCCCCAAATCTTGTGCACGTGCATTATGATGCAACCTTTAATTAACAGTGTCTTATGATGCAACCTAGAATTACATGATTACGTACAATTTTTCTTGCAGGTCTCCTGTCTTATTCGGGGGGGGAAGATAACTGCTTAAGAAGCCCTGACTCTCAGCAGGATTCAGGCACTTAAAATACCGTTGAGAATCTGGGCCTTAATGAGGAGCAATTCAATATTTTGTTTTCTCCTTGTTCAGTATGGAGCCCCATGACTTATTTAATGCACTATCTTCAAACCCTGCTCTCAAGAACTAACGATTAATGTCCTCATGGGCTTTTTTATAATTCCCCCCTATGAAGTATCCAAGTGTTTCACAAATATTAATGCATTTATTTTCAAAGTGTCTCCATAAGGGGAAGGTTTATTACCTTCCTTTCATATTGGGAAACTCAGAGGCAGATATGTTAAGGTGAAAACCATGAAGTTTTGTGTACTTGCAGCTCCCAGCAGTTTAGCATTCTTGAGCATGGTGCAGCATTTTGTATTTTCAAAGCACAACTCCTGTTGGCAACTGTGAATGTGCAGTGTTTTTGTAAATCAGATTCCAGAGTCTCAAGGCATGCACTCATAAAATGAGACAAATGCAACTGGAATAATATCATATGGTGCTTTGAGGAAGAGACAGAAGCCTGACATCACTCCTGGGCAAAATGATGGAGCAGGTGATGCAGCACTTGATTAATAAAAAAATTAAAACTAGGTAAGATAATTAGAGACAGTTAACCTGGATTTGAGGAAAATAAACTTTGTCACACTACCTTTTTTTTTTAAAGGAGGTTATGAATTTGGTTAATGAAGACGATGGTACTGATGTAGAATATTAGTGACGGTAGAATAAGAAAGATAAACCCAAACTAGTTCTACCCTAGCTTGATCCAGGTTGTGAACAGATGTTGTCGTCTAGACACAGCTGTGCCACCGGAAGAATTTACCTCCATCTGCTGCTTGTTACCATTTCCCTGCTAGAAAGTAGTCCCCCTTGCAATCTGCCTGCAGACCAGTTCCCGCATGCACCCCCTACTTCGCAGTAGGAAAAATCAGTTAAGTTCACTCAGATCAGCAACTTAAATTGCGTAAGTTTGTCCTGATAATTTTTCTTGATGGGAGTTGAGGAGCTCGCTCAGATACCTCTATACCTGTCAGTAGCCAGCCAGTTGGCTTTCTAAGTTATGAATTTAACTCCCTGGAGAAGCAGTGACACCCCTCAGCTCTTCTTCCAGTCTCCCACCCCATTTGTGATTCACCTACCTCCACAATCAACGAGGCAATGTCGTATAGGGAACAGCCTTCTTCACAGTAAGGTGACCCACATGTGAAGCAGGTCTATCCTGTTCGCTGAATAAGGCAAGCCCTCTGTGGAAAAAACAGTAGGTAGTCATGTAATTTAAAGGCTTTTCTCACTGTACATACACAAATATTATACACTTTATATATATATATGTATAACACATACGCGTTATGTGAACACACATGCACACAGAGGCCAAATTAGATTTACACAAGCCATTTTACCTTGTGTAATTTCTGACTTTCAAGTGCTTAATTTTGCATTCTTCACGGTGTTTTAGTGTAGGGTTTTTTTCTCTGTGCATATATGTTAAAACAATGCAAAAAACTAATGAGTGCTTACACAAGACAAGTTCTACAGTGTGCATAATTTTTAGACACAGATTGTTTGAATGCCTTAATGGAATGTAGTGAAATTGAGTAGGAATTAAGTCAGTCCAGTGGCTCTTTTATTTTCAACAGATCTTCAAATACTAGAATTAAATAAATTAAATTAAATGAACAATTAAATTAAATTAAACAGGCTTTGAGCCAAACTCCTGCTTCCAAAGACCAAAGTCTCTAACAGCATTCATTTTACACTCCCTTGGTCATAAGATGGTAGCTGAACATCTGATGTTGAAAAATCACTTAGTGCAAATATATATTTTCTGCATCCTCCTCTAAGGCAGCTGACAGATTCTTAACAGAAGTACTGAGACTGGAATAGTAATACTTAGTTCAGGAGCAAGACAGGTGCATTTTCACCTATAATGGGAATCACAACATGCTACATGCAGGTCCTTACCGTCACTTTTACCATATAACTCAGTTTCTAAAGGGAAAGCAAAAACCAAACAGCACCTAGGATATTCCTTGAGGATTATCGGAAGAAAGGAATCAGGACAACCTGAGGGAACTCAGTGACTCAGAGTGCAGCCCTCAGACAGATAAATTACACCTTGCACGCAGACTAACTGTGCAAGCACATGTATATGCTACAGAAAGTAACCAAACAAATGTAAGGTTGGCAACTCAAAGCCTAATTGCCGCAAGCATATGAATCACCAAGTTCCAATCTTGCAGGACCTAACTGGAATATTTAATAAAAATGGAACCTATAATCAAGAACCTTACTTGCACATGAAATATTTCCCTTTGATTTTTTTTTTTTTTTTTACACCTGGATAAGAGACATTCTCAATGGGGAATGTTTCTTTCCACGCCTGCTCCTATATTGTATATGCAAGCTCAGACTCACCTAGTGTCCAAACGGTTTTGCTGTGAGTCCGTGCTTACGTGGGCTGGGAGTGAGCTCCAAGGTACAGCAGCAAGACTTGAGCCTCTTCTATCCTTCAACACAGGCCGAAACTGGACCTTACCTGTGGAGAGGCTGAGAAGGGGCAAAGTCTTAATTAAACTGTGTCGTGTAGCCACGTGATGTCGACATAAATACATCCATCTATTTACACGTTACCTGGCACCCACTGCTGCTTGTACCCTGCAAGTCCTGCTTGCAGTTGGACTAGATGATCGTTGTAGGTGCCTTCCAACTAAACTATTCTATTCTATTCTGTTCTATATCACAGACAGGAATTACTGGGATACCCTGCACAGACCTTGCTAAACTTGATCTGCACAAGTGCAGCCCTGGATACTCTCCCACTGCCCATCCACAGGGGACACCTGCACCAGTGGCTCACAGCTCAGCCCATGGTTCTCCTGAATAAATCCTTTCAAAAATTTCAAGGAGAGGAACATATTCTCTATTCTCTGCATACAAAACAAGCATGACTGTGCGCATATGCTTTAAGAGAGAAACAAGAGCATTAATTAGTTCAAGTTGGAGAAAGTGCGTGTTGATTTTGCTCAAGAAAATTGTTATGAAACAAAATAACAGCCTTAAGAAGAAAAGGGAAAGAAAGAGGTTGGGAAAAAATCATAACACAATATTTAATATTTTTGTTGTATTTTCTATCAACGTTTGAAGATTTGAGAGATAAGAGGCTTGCACTGCTAGAGTTAAATAGTTTGTAGTTACCTGGAACCCAGGCCAGCTTGTGCAAATACGGCTCTGCAGCGCGGTCAGCCCGGCAGACTTTGTCTTTCCAGGCATAACCACCGATTTATACCTTATCCCACAAAGGTCAAAACTCCCTTTCCAGCATGCTAGTAATG